TGTATGTGTGCGCGCACACACCATGGAATATTACTCAATTAAAATGAATGAAATAATGTCTTCTGCAGCAATTTGGATGGAACTGCGGGTCATTATCCTCAGTGAAGTAACTCAGGAACAGAAAACCAAATACTGCATGTTCTCACATATAAGTGGGAGCTGAGCTATGGGTGTACAGTGATATAATGGACATTGTAGACTCAGAAGAGGGTAAGGATAAGGAGGATAAGGGGTAAAAAATTACCTGTTGGGTACAATGTACACTCTTCAGGTGATGGGTCACTAAAAGCCCAGACTTTACAGCTGTACAGTTCATCCAGGTAACCAAAAAACACTTGTACCCCTAAATCTATTAAAGTTTTTAAAAATTTTGTGCATCAAAGGACACCATCAAGAAAGCGGAAACACAGCCCAGAGAATGGGAGAAAATGTTTGAAAATCATGTAACTGATAAGAGACTAGCATCTAGAATACATAAAGAACTTTTACAACCCAGTAATAATAAAGACAACCCTTAAAAATGGGCAAAGGATTTGAACAGACATTTCTCCAAAAAAGACACACAGTGGTCAATTAACACGTGAAAGGATGCTCAACGTCATTATTCATTAGAGAAAGGCATGCCAGAATTACAAGGAGATACCACTTCACACCCACTAGAATGGATATAACCAAAAAGACAATAACAAGTGCTGACAAGGATTTGGAGAGATTGGGCCTTCATACGTTGCTGGTGGGAATGTAAAATGGCACAGATGCTTTTGAAAACATTTTGGCAGTTTCTCAAAATGTTAAAAGTAGAGGTATCACATGACCCAGCAATTCCAACCCTAGGTACCTAAGAGAAATGAAAACATGCATCCACATAAAAACTTGTACATATATGTTCATAGCAGCATTGTTTATAATAGCCAAAGTTGGTAACAATCCAAACATTAATCAACTGAATGGACAAATCAAATGTGATAAATCCGTAGTAACCAAAACAGCATAGTATTGATATAAAAACACACATAGACTAATGGAACACAATAGAGAACCCAGAAATAAATACACACATTTATGGCCAACTGATTTTTGACAAAGATGTCAGGAACACACAATGGAGAAAGGACACCCTCTTCAATAAATTGTGCTGAGAAAGCTGGATCTGAGTATGCAGAAAAATGAAATTAGACTCCTTTCTCTCACCACATACAAAAATCAACTCAAGATGGATTAAAGACTTAAATATAAAGCCAGAAACTATAAAACTACTGGAAGAAAACTTGAGATATGCTTTAGGTCTGGTCTAGGAAAAGATTTTATAGCTAAGACCTCAAAAGCACAGGCAACAAAAATAAACAGACTAAAGAGCTTCTGCACAGCAAAGGAAACAATCAACAGAGTGAAGAGACATTGTAAACTATTCATCTGCCAAGGGACTGATATCCAGAATGTACAAGAAACTCAACAGTTAAAAAAAGCCCATTAAAAAGTAGGCAAAGGACGTGAACAGACATTTCTTAAAAGATGACATACAAATGGCCAAGTATATGAAAAAATGTTTAACATCACCTATCATCAGGAAAATGCAGATCAAAACCACAAGGAGATAGAATCCTACCACAGAATAGTTCTTATTAAAAAGACAAAAAAGCCTGGGTGCGGTGGCTCACGCCTGTAATCCTAGCACTCTGGGAGGCTGAGGCGGGTGGATCGCTCAAGGGCAGGAGTTCGAGACCAGCCTGAGCAAGAGTGAGACCCCGTCTCTACTAAAAAATAAAAAGAAATGATCTGGACAACTAAAAAAAAAAATATATATACATATATATAAAAATTAGCTGGGCACGGTGGCACATGCCTGTAGTCCCAGCTACTCGGGACACTGAGGCAGAAGGATCGCTTGAGCCCAGGAGTTTGAGGTTGCTGTGAGCTAGGCTGACGCCACGGCACTCTAGCCCAGGCAACAGAGCAAGACTCTGTCTCAAAAAAAAAAAAAAATGACAAAAAATAGGAGATGCTGGTGAGGATGCGGAAAAAAGGGAACTCTTCTAAACTGTTGGTGGGAATGTAAATTAGTACAGCCACTATGCAAAACAGTATGGAGATTTCTCAAAAAATTAAAAATAGAACTACTATATGACCCAACAATCCCACTACAGGGTATGTCAAAGGGATACCTGCACTCCTATGTTTATTGAAGCACTATTCACAATAGCCAAGATAGGGAATCAACCTGAATGCCCATCACCAGATGCATGGATGAAGAAAATGTGGCATATATACACAATGGAATATTCAGCCATAAAAAAGAATGAAATCATGTTTTTTGTAGCAATATGGTAGAAACTGGAGGTTATTGTGTTAAATAAGCAGGCACAGAAAGGCAAATATCATATCTTCTTATTCATATGTGAGAGCTAAAAAAGTTGATTTCATGGAGGCATAGAGTAGAATGATAGTTATCAGAGTCTGGGAAGGGTATGTGGGTGGGAGGAGGGGAATGAAGAGAGGTTGGTTAATGGGCACAAATAAACAGAAAGAAGGAATAAGTTCTAATGTTTGACAGTAGAGTAGGCTGACTATAGTTTACAAAAATGTACATTTGAAAATAGCTAGAAGAGAGAACTTAAATGTTCCCAACACATAGAAGTGATAAATACTTAGGTGGTAGGTACCTTAAATACCCTTGATCATTACACATTCTATGTATATAACAAAATATCACATATACCCTGTAAATATGTATAGATGTGTATCAATAAAAATAAAATGTGATATATTTGAATAGTGGAATGTTCAACTATGAAGAAGCATAACTACTGATACATGCTATGACATGGGCAATTCTTAAAAACATAATACTAAGTGAAAGAAGACAGTCACAAAGATCACATATTGTATGATTCCATTCATGAGACATGTCCGAAATGGAAAAAATCTAATGAGACATGAAATAGCCTAGTGATTGCTTAGGGCTGGAGGGCTGGAGTGGAATGCAGAAGGACTGCTAATGGGGTGGGATTTATTTTCGGAAGCATGAAAATGTTCTAAAATTAGACTGTAGTGATGGTTACACAACCTTGTGAATTTACTAAAAAACATTGAATTATATATTAATACCTTAAGTGGGTTAGTTGTATGTGAATTATATTTCAGTAAAGCTGTTAAAAAGTGATAGGTTCATGGATTGGAGATTCCCAGCAGACCAAGGATTGTTGGATTCATCTTTGTAGATATTGAATCAATAATGATTATGATAGAAATATTGTTTGAAAGAGTGACAGTAAGCCAGAAACCAATACTTTCAAAAAATAAGGGAAATAATCTGAGGGAGGGTAGATAATTGCAACAAGGAGGGATACTTGGTAATATAGTTTGATGACATAAAGTGTAAAGGTGAGTGCTTTTATGATGAAGAGAGGGAGAATGTTCTGAATGTGGGAATGAGGAACACAAAGAACACCTCCATGTTCAAGGCCCAGGATATAAGAGATGTGGAAGAGAAAGCAGCTAGCATTTGTCAGGGCTTACAGAGGAAGCAGAGTCATCAGGGAAGAGCTTATGTTATTATAGACTTGTATTGATCATAAAACACTTTGAAGTACGTAGAATAACTTTCTGAATACCTTCCGTTTCCTCCATGGACTTTTCGTTGTGTTACCTTTTCCACTAATTATACATACCATGAAACTTGAGTCTGTTTTGTGATGATTACTTGATCAAATTGGTGTTCATGTTCTCCTATTTAATATGTTTCCCATTGCTAATGTATAAGGCTGTATCATTGGTCAGTTTTGATTTATTCATTGTTGTTTTGTGATAGCATAAGGGATGTGGTTATATGCCACGCTATAATTCTAATTTACAGAAAGTCTGTCACCTTAATAATCTGATCTCTCTCCAGAAATAATGAGGGAGTTGTTGATTAGTTGTAATATAATAATGACTGCTATTATCCACAGGAAAATAGGAAGAATGTATTCTTTTTCTACATTTTTTTTATCCTTAAGTCTTCTAACAAGCACAGATAGCCTCTTTCTTGACTGTTAGATTACACACCTTTTCAAAACCCCTAAGTTCACTTGGAAAGGTTTTACAATCTGAAACGTAATTGATTTCAGTACTATGAAATAGCCTGCTCATCTATGAAAAATCAGTCCCCAAGGATAGCACAATTTCTTTTTAGGAAGTTAATTTTCTGTTGTTAATTACTCATACTGGAGTATCTTACGTGATGAATCCAGAGATGTAAAATAATATGTATTAAACAAAAATCATTCAATAAATACTTCCATTTCCAAATTAGTCAATTTTGGCTACTCCAAAGTAAGATTTGTGAAAACTATAGATGTTGCCATTTGTGCCACTCTTGTGAAAGTATTTAATCCTTTGCTACTATTGGCCATGAAGTTAACTTGACTGTCAGACAACACGAATTGCACAGTGAAATCTTGGATTTTTAAAAATCATGCACAAAAATACAAAGGGAATAAATTCATTACCATCTATTATGTTTTAAGCAGGAGCAATATTTAAAATGATCAGACATGTACTACCATGACATTGAACATTCAGAAAAGATGCTGGTCATTGGATCATTCATAATAGTATTTTCCTACTAAATAACAGCCCTGGTTCTCAATATTACATTTATTGTTTTATCAAATTTAATTTAGTCATAAATCTTCATGGTGGATATTATTTATTCCATTTTGCAAATGAAAAAGTCCTAAGACTTAAAGAGGTAAGTAACTTAAGTAAGATCACATAGAAAATTGGTAGAGCTGGAATTCAAATGTAGTTTTATCTGACTCTAAAATCTGTGCCATTTTAACTATTGTACTGCCTTGATAAACTTAATGCCCAAATCTCTATTTTATGTCAAGAACTGAGTTCACAATAGTTTATCACTTGTTTGAAATAATAGATCATTTTGCTAAATTTGGACATTTTTGAAAAATAAGCTTGTTTCTATTAATATTTCCTAACCTTTTTTCTTTCTTATTATATGTTAGGACGTCTTGCATGGCTAGTATACTTAGTTGGGACAGTTGTTGGAGGAAGATTAACATATACCAGTACAGATGAACATGATGCTATGGATGGAGAATTATCCTGTCGGTAAGTAACAGCCATGTAATTTAAAGAAATTTAAATAGTTAAGAAATGTAGTTATTGAGCTGGTATTATGAGGTAAAGCATTGCATATATGACCTTTTGAGGAAAGTATTATTTCCATTTTTATTGATGGGAAAACCAAGGCTTAGAGGTTAAGTGATTTGTAGAAGTCAAATCTCTAATAAGTTGTAGACTCAAATCGTTTTTTAGACTTTGTGCAAATAACATGATGAAGATTTAGGTTGCTTTTTATTATTTAGGATCTGATAGAGCATAAAAAATTGGTGTGTATTGGAATGGTGGCAAAATTTGGGATGACATATATCTGGTCAAAAAGCATTGGGTAGCCAGTTATCCAACACAAGCTTTGTTTATGAATCTTGACTAGATTTTTTTCCCTAATGGCCACAGCCTTAGGAAGAAGCAGATTTTATTTTTAATAACATCATTCCTTATAATATGTGCAATATGTGTTTTTGTTGAAGACTTACAAATACAAATGAAAAGAATAATCATGTATTATTCTAGAGATAACTACTATCATTTTGATGAAGACCTTTTGGGTCTTTTAATGTGTGTGGGTATATGTACACTACATGTGTGTTTTTCAACTTTTTTAAAACAGAAAGTGTCATAATGTTGTGTAAACTAAAATTAGCGATAATAGCTAACTCATTGGGGACTATAAGGAATATATTTTTTAGTGCTTGGAACTGCCTGGCAGATAATGAGCTATGTATTAATATTACACAGAGAGACACATAGACATCCATACAACTTTTTTAAATCAAACGTAATATCATGAATATTTTACCTAGACATTAAATATTTTAAGCTGTATCATAATTTAAATAGACTCTTGGTCTTGGATTTTAGGTTGTTTCTCAGTAGTTCTTTATTATTACTTTTAGATGAATATTCTTTTAGTTTGATTTTTATGTAGATTGAAATAATTTCATTAAAGTTAATTCCTAAAAGCTGAATAGCTGGTCAACAGGTATGTAGCATTTTAAACACTTTCAATACACATTATCAAATGGTCTTCTGAAAAAGTTGTACCAATTTATCCTCTAAAACCAAAGGCTGTGGGAGTTACTATTTTTCAGTAGTTGAACACTATGTAATAGGATTCATATTATTGCCAGTTTAGAGGTAACAAATGTTTTAATTTGTATGTCTTTGGTTACTAGTGATGTCAAACATTTTCTTCCACTCCTTTTTTTGTCATTTGTATTTATTCTTTGTGATTTTGTATCTATATTGATTTTCTTTTGTGATTATCTTTTCTAATTTATTCATAAAAGCTCAGTATATATCAAAAACCGTAATATTTGGCCGAGTTCAGTGGCTTATGCTTTTCAAGGCTAAGGTGGGAGGATCGCTTGAGGCCAGGAGTTCAAGACCAGCCTAAAAAAATAAAAAATTTAGCCAAGTGTGGTGGTGTGGGCCTGTAATACTAGCTACTTGGCAGGCTGAGGTGGGAGGATCGCTTAAGCACAGGATTACAGTGAGGTATGGTCATGCCACTGCACTCCAGCCTCCTGGGTGACAGCAAGACCTTGTCTCAAAAAAAAAAAAAAAAAAAAATACATTAATATTTTACTATTCATTTTGAAAATATTTTCTCTGTGTTTTTAATTTACTGTAGAAATTCGCTTTTTTACTGGCTTTCAGTATTTATGTAGTTAGATGTATGCATTTTTTCCTTCATACTTTCCTCCACTGCTTATACTTAGAAAGATTTTTTTCACTCCTAGATAATAAAAATATCCACGTATATGTTCTAACTCTTTTATGGTTTTAGATTTTTATATTTAATTTTTAATATATATGACATTTGTTTTATATACTTTTTCTAAAATTTCCAGAGTGTTAATTAATGCCAACCCTACCCTCTACTGATTTGGAATACCATTTATATCTTAAATAAAATCTTAGTCTTTTTCCAGTCTTTTTCTTTCATACTTTTCCATTGATCTTAGATGTCTATTATCCTGTGAAAGTCCTTAAAATCATTATAGCTAGTTGTGATATTCTCTGTCATTATTATTCTTAAATATATTCCTAAGTGTTTAATAAATTTGTTGTTGAATAGAAAATTTCCTTTTATTCCATACCCTTTTCAAGCATTAAGCTATCTCTTTAATAAAATTTTAATCTGAGTGGACCATAAATATTTTCAGTTTTTCTAAGATTAATTACTTTCTATATTAAATCAAATTACTTAAAATATGAATAAATAGGTGTTTGGGGGTCTTCTTTAAATGCTTTAGTTAATTTTCATCTAAGCAAAAAATGTGCCTCTGTACTATCTTTTAAGATAACATTACATATTTAGTAAAGTGGAAATTAAGTATACTTTTTGCTATAATTAGCTTGATTTTTTAAAGTTTTCATCATCAGATGGGGAATATACACTGCCACTGTTTTATGAGAAAATATATAATAGGAAATAAAACAGGTGTATTTTTGCCAGTTAGAAAATTCATTGTTTTCTTTAAGCTGCAAACATATTTAATTTAAAATTAGATTTATGTTGTGTTGTAGCCTGCATTCTCTAGAAAACAGAACCTTGGGTTAAGTTTATGGGCTAATGTTTTATTGGAGGATGGGGAGAACGGTACATTTTCTGAGAAGAAAGAATAAGGGGAAAGGGAAAGAGAGAATAAAAGTAAACAATATAGTCAGTCCTCATTATTTCTGGATTCCATTTTTTTTAATTTTTCTATTCGACGAAATTTGTTTCTAAGTCCAAAATCAATATTCATGGTGCTTTTGTGGTCATTTGCAGACATGTGCATAGGGGTGAAAAAATCTGAGTTGTATATTGCACACTTTCCCAGTAGAGGCTAAACCAGGTGATCCTCTGCCTTCTTGCCGAAGCTCTCATACTGCAAATAAGTGTCCTTTTGCGTTCTATTTAGTGCCAAATTTGCTGCACGTTTGTGCTTTTCATTTGTGCTTTCAGTGTTTAAAATAGCCCCACCATAGTGCTAAAGTGCTGTATAGTGTTCCTAAGCATGAGAAGGCTGTCATGTGCCTTACAGAAAAAATATATGGGTTAGATAAGCTTCATTCAGGCTTAAGTTGTAGTACTGTTGGCTGTGAGGTCAATATTAATGAATCAGCAATATATGATAAATAAGGAATCTTTAAACAGAAACACACACAAAACAAGATTATGATTTGTTGACAAAAATGTTGTGACCAGAGGCTTGCAGGAACCTAACCCTGTATTTCCCCTAGGAGCAGTGATTCAATATCATTAATTCAATGTTCACAGCTACTTTATAGAACATAACTACCATGAATAATGAGAATCAACTGTGTAAGGTGGTACATTGCTGAGAAAACATAGCTGGTTGCTTGCTTTTACAGACATTTTCCCTAGAGGCCAGATGAAAGCACTGAACCTCAGAACAGCCCATGGTAAGCGGCAGTAAGAGCAATCAGTTTGTTTGTTGGCTTCTTTCTGTGTCCAGTTTCTTACTAGCTGATGTCTACCCCTGGGCTTTTAACTTTTACACACTTACGAGTTACGTTCCCTGGCTTCTTTGAGGAGCTGCTGGGGAACGAGAGCATCTACTGGTTCAGTTTAGTTGGAGCTGTGGACTGGAGCTGTGGCTTGCCTCTCCTCTCCCCTGGGAGGATTTATAACTGCAGGAGCTGTGTAACTCTTTACTAGGGCAACAAGACAAGTGGCTAGGGCAAGGGGTGGAGTGAGAAGTGATGGTGGGGTTGGTGGGTGTGCAAGTAGGGCCAAGCAAATTCACGGTGGAGTGTATTCTAGGACTTAGACACTTCGTCTGGAAACAACATAAATATGTGTATTAGAATATTGAGATTCTAAATTCAGAATGATGTCTTGTGTAAAATTACAAAATATCACTTTCATATGAAGAAATTCCAAGTAAGTGGAACTATAATACAGTTGCCTTCTATATGTTGTATGTTGGCTGTCCATCTCCTGGGAGAACACTACCAAACCAGAAGATTGAGAAGCTCCTGCCAAAAGTCTTTGTAATTAAAATATATTACTTTGACGTATATTTAAATATGTTACTTTAACATAAAAGACAATATATTTGTACTCAGGTCCACAGTTCTGATTAAATAAAGATGATTTCATAGTCATTTTAGTTTCATTCATCATGACTAAAATGTAAATCTCTTGAGAGATTCCCCAGTTGTTTTGTCTTATTCATCATGTATTCTCTCAGTCTCATAGTGCTAGTAGAGTACCTCCTTCTTTCAGGCTTATTCTAGTCAGCTATGCCACCCTCTTTCCCTCCTTATTTCTCTCACCTGCTCATCTCCTGGTTATCCCTCATCTTTCATTGAAGACTCTGATTACCAGCTCAGTCAGAGTTTTGCTTTCTTTCCCAAACTGTACTATCATATAGATGACTTCAGCTTCTTTCTGATCAGATAATGTTCCTCTGCCTTTCCCTACTCATAAGCCACCAGTGGCTTCCTGTCACACTTGAGACAATTTCCAAGCCCCAAAGCATCCTATGCTACTTCTGACCTCATTTTCTGTCCTTTCCCATTGAACTCAACCACACTGGCCTCTTTGCTATTCTTTGAGTATTACCAGTATGTTTTCACTTTAGGGCCTTTGCACTTCTCTGTCTTCTGCTAGGAATGTTTTCTCCCAGATGTTTGTATAGTACAGTTGACCCTTGAACAACGCAGGTGGTGGTTGGAGCGCCGACCTCCCACACAGTCAAAAATTCACATACAACTTTTGACCCCCCTAAATTTAACTATTAATAAGCTACTATTGACCAGAAGCCTTAACAATAACAGTTGGTTAGCACATATTTTGTATGTTTTATGTATTATATACTGTATTCTTACAAGAAAGTAAGCTATAGAAAAGCAAATGTTATTAAGAGAATCATAAGGAAGAGAAAATATATTTACTGTTCATTAAGTGGAAGTAGATCATTATAAAGGTCTTTATTCTCATCATCTTCATGTTGAGTATGCTGAGGAGGAGG